AAGAGAATCAGAGAATAAAGAAGATGTAAAGTTTGTCCAGCCAGTCCAGCATCAGTCAGATAAGTCTAACCCTGAATATGTTTTGTATACTACTAATAATGAGGGGCTGGGTGTTGAAACTGATGTTGAAATCAATGGTAAACTTGTTCAAATGATGATTGACACTGGCTGTGCTAAAACCTTGATCCCGAAACAGTGGTTTAGAAACAACCTGAACATTCCTCTTAACCCAACCAATGTCAAGTTCTCAGCTTTTGGTGGAGGAGACCTCAAGTGTTTAGGAGTATTTGATGCTAAACTGAGATGCAATAAGATGGAAGTAATGGAGCCAGTGTATGTGATCGATGTGGAAGGACCCCCCTGTTGGGAAGAAGCGCCCTGTCCACCCTCAACCTTGTAAAAATCCATGCAGTAGGGGAGAGCCCAACCAAGGCGAGGGAGAAGATCTATCAGGAGTATGAAAATCTCTTCAAGGAAGAGCTCGGAGACTTTAAGAATTATGAGTACAAAATTAAAATCAATTCAGATGTCCCTCCCAAGGTACAAAAACAAAGGCCAGTCCCTGCACCCTTAGAGGATAGATTGAAACAAGAAATAGAGCGAATGATCCAAGAAGATGTGATTGAAGAAGCGACAGGAGCATCGTGGATATCACCTGTGCAGATTGTCTACAAGGGGAATGGAGAATTGAGAGTGTGCGTTGATCTCAGGGAAGCTAATAAAGCAGTGATAAGAGAGCGGTTTCCAATTCCTAGAATCCAAGACCTGTTACGGCAACTGAGTGGGGCTCGGATGTTTTCGACTCTGGATCTAAGGAAAGCATATTGGCAGGTTCGCCTAGCGGAAGAATCTAGAGAAATTACATCGTTCATAGCCGCAGGCAAAGTGTATCAGTTCAAAAGGCTGCCCTTCGGACTTGCGTCAGCACCAGAGGTGTACCAAAGGGTCATGAGCATAGTGTGTGAAGGCTTATCAGGTGTGCTTAGCTACTTTGATGATGTTGTGGTGTACGGGTCAACACCAGAAGAACACTGGAAGAATCTTCGTGCAGTGATGGCTAAACTTCAAGACTGTGGCCTTCGTCTCAATGCAGACAAGTGTGCCTTGGGCATGTGTGAGCTGAAATTTCTAGGACACGTCATCTCTGCTGAGGGCATTAAGCCTGACCCTGACAAGGTAAAAGCCATTGCAGATGCACCAGTACCTCAAAACCAAGCTGAGCTGAGATCATTTCTGGGAAGCATTACATACCTTACACAGTTTGTTTCCAACCTTGCAACAGTGATCACCCCCTTACGATATCTTACGCAGAAGGGTGTGGTGTGGAAATGGAGTACAACAGAATCCAATGCCTTTGAGGAAGTTAAAGAGCTTCTGATTAAAGCACCATGCCTTGCACACTACTCATTGGAAGCCGAGACCAAACTTGTAGTAGATGCCAGCCCAGTCGGTCTTGGGTGTGTCTTGCTGCAAAATGTTGACAGCCGTTGGCAGCCCATATCTTATGCGTCCAGAAGTCTAACTGCTGCAGAGAAGAGATATTCGCAGATCGAACGAGAGGCAATGGCTGTGCTGTTCGGATTGCAGAAGATGCATTCTTACATTTATGGTCGCCACGTTGTCGTCTCGACTGATCATAAACCACTACTTGGCGTATTCAATAAAAACACTCAATCAATTCGCCTGGAACGGATTGCTTTGAGATGTCAGGACTATGACTTCACACTCACTTATGAACCTGGATCTGAGAACATTGCAGATGGACTGTCAAGATTACCTTTGAACGCTACTGTTACAGAAACAAGTTTTGTTGAGGAGCATGTACACTTTGTCAAAAGTGCTGATGCTTTGCTCTCAATTGATGAAATAAAAGAGGCTGGAGAGTCTGACCCTGAATTACTAGAGGTGGTGAAGGTACTTGATGGAACCCAGAACCTGGTAAATAATAAATGGAAACATTTTAAAGATGAACTGAGCTTTGCACAGGGCCTACTGTGGCGAGGTCGACGAATTTATGTTCCTGAGAAGTTGAGAAAAAAGGCATTGACCTTGGCACATGAGGCTCATCAAGGTATTGTGCGTTGCAAGCAACGCCTTCGTAGAATTCTGTTCTGGCCGGGGATGGACTCTGATGTTGAAGACTACTGCCGAAATTGCGAGACTTGTGTGCGCCTTCAGCCACTACGACGAGACACACCTAATACAGCAACTCCTCTTCCCGATTACTGCTGGGAGAAGTGTGCCCTTGACCTGGTGGGTCCATTTCCTGGAGAGATCTACATCATGACTGTTGTTGATTACAGAAGCAAGTGGCCCGAGGCTATTGTTCTTAAGCGTATTACAAGTGAGAGTATAGTCACTGCACTTGCAGATATATTTGCACGATTTGGAAATCCAAAAGTTCTGATCACGGACAATGGACGTCAGTTCGTAGCTGAGGAATTCCAAGACTTCATGAAGGCAAATGGAATACAGCACAGAAGAGTATCACCCTATTTTCCACAAGCAAATGGGCAGGTCGAAAGATTTCATAGGTACCTAAAGCACAGTATCAGAGCAGCAGAGTTAGATGGTCTATCCTGGACAGAGGTTCTGCCCACAATCCTGCAAGTTTACAGATCCACTCCACATGCCGGGACTAACATGACCCCGGCTAAACTGTTTCTCAACAGAGAGATAACAACAAAGTTGCCAACAGTACCAGAAATGGATCAGAACAACCCTGAAGAGAGGTACAAGGAATACCAGAGGAAGTTATGTGAGTATACTGATGCCAAGCGACATGCACAACAACATAACCTAGTACCTGGGGATATTGTATTTGTAGCAAATACAAAATCTGGAAAATTGATTCCCACGTTTGGTCATCAGAAGTATGTCATTGTTCGTAGCAAAGGACCAGATACTTTTGAACTTGTCAATGCTGAGACTGGACAACATCTCACTCGTAATGTGAAGTTTCTTAGTAGAGTTCCACGCATGGAGCTACCAGTTAATGATGACAATGACAACGGCTGCTTGGAGTCGGAAGAGTTCGCTGGGGCAGCGATGCCTCCTTTGGATCAACTCGGATCTACAGTCTCGGATGATAGGAATCCCGCAGATAGTGGTCCTCCCTACTCAGCAATGGAATTGAGACGTTCAACTCGAACACCAAAGCCAAAGAGAGATCCGGACTTTGTTTATGACTAGAACATTGTTTTAGTTCTTCTATGTTAAGTTGCGTTGTTAGAATGGACTTTGAACTTTAAATAGGTTAGGATGGGATGTTATATCCGGGTATCCACGCATATTGCAGGCTTGGCTGCTAAGCCTAAGGACGTTTTGGATACGTTGGATCTGACTAATTTCGGTGTAAAAACTCTTCTTGTATATTGGAGTCTGTTCCGTTACAATTAAAGACTTTGCGACACTACACCGTTTCTTTAGGTTTGAACTAAGCAAACTTAGTTCAGTTGAAAGATCTCTGCTTTGTGGGACAACATCTGTCTCAGGCTCGCCTCTTGATGGAATTTATGAATATTAAGTCCATTTTCAATTCATTGGACAAAAACATCTCTAGTGGGATCTTTCATGAGTATAAATTGCAATGCTCCTGTTGTTAATGATCACTTCTTTCACTTCTGCGAACACACCATGAGTTCATCACAGAGAGTTCTCAAGTGTACTGTATGTAGAGGTGACCACCCCAGACTGCACTGTTTAGTTCTTTGTAACAGCTGCAGTGGCAACAATAGAAGATGTCATTGCCAATCATTTTTGTTACGCTGAGTGACCCTGGACCAGATGGAGAAAGGCATATGCCAAAGCTATGAGGTTACTGGACGTACATTTTTTGCCACAAGTTAACATTCCATTTGAACCACACAGCAGTTTCATCAAGCAAAACAGAAAGAGTCCGAGACAACAGACCAGTTTGTGACCACAGTGTTCCAGCTTAGCGAGAATTGCGACTTCAGAACATCCAAGGAAGAACAAGTCCCCGATTAGTTAATTGATAAATGTCAGTCACATGATCTTTGTAAGAAACTACTCGCTGTCAGTGGTAAACTAACACTTCAGAAGGCTGGAGACATTGCTAGATCTATGGAAGCTGCTGAAAGTCAGGCACGGTCGATTGAAAGCAATTCACGGAGCAGAAATGTGAATTCCTTAGAGCAGGGACATTTTGATTCGCCTAAACGTGGAGAAGGACGTTGTTATTGGCGTGGACTCGAGGGACATTTTGCAAGAGATCCAGAGTGCACGGCAAGACTGGCTACTTGTATGAAATGTAAAAAAGTGGGGCATTTTGCCAAAGTTTGCAAAACAAAGGAAGAAGACACTATTAGGCCCAGGAAAAGAAATATACACCAGGTTACCAAGGATGATGATTTCGCTTTCACCTTACAGTCTTGTGGAAAAGATTGTAGAAATCGTTCACACTGTTTTATAACTAAGTTAATCAGTGACATCAGACACTGTTTTGTTCGACATATTCTTGTTTAACCGGTTTGATCACACGCGTTTTTTTTGGAATAATATCCTGATTTCAATGTTTTTCGATGGAGCAAATTGATGTATGAGTGATTCCTACAAAATAAACAAGTTTAACGGAGTTTCGAATACGATTATTATATGGCACCCAAAGTGGGGCCCTGAGCTCCTCGATGAATACGACGATCATGACGACTGTAGAAAAGAAAGAAAGATTAACACAATTGCGAGCGATTCATGGAGCATAATGTGCTATTGTTACCAAAAACGTGAGTAAGGTAACTGACATTGTAGAAGATGAAGCATTTACGTTTTCTTCTAACGAACAAGTTCATCAATGGGAGGTCATAAGTCGATTGCTGGAAGCAAAATTGAAGGCTCTCGAAGACATCGACCAAGACATTTTATCACTGTGTAACGTTGATGAAATTCCACAGGAGATCGGAGAATCTAAGAGGTAAGTGGAGAAAGTTATCACATGCCAGAAGAAAATAAGCAATGTTTCTCAACCGACTGCTGGAGATATGCAAGAACCTCCTGACCCACTCGCAGGCTTAATTCAAGTGCTACCAGGAGGCGTGTCGCTGTCAGTTCCTACTAGTCAAATCAAGGCAAAACTACCGAAACTTGTTCTCCCTAAATTTCGCGGTGAAGTCACGACTTGGGTGGGATTTTGGTACTCATACAAGTCTGCAGTGCATGACGATGTAAATCTCTCAAAAATTGATAAATTCAACTATTTGAGATCACTATTGGAAGGTGCCGCCAGCCAAGCCATTCAAGGTCTTGCTTTATCAAGTGACAACTATGATTCCGTAGTGAAAAAAATTGAGCAACGATTTGGTAAAACACAACAGATCATCTCTGCACACATGGAAGAAATTCTAAAATTACAACCGTGCCTAACAGACTGTCCATCGTGTCTTCAATTTCTCTACGATAAATTAAGCGTACATGTGCAAGGTCTTTCCTCTCTGGGGGTGTCGTCCCAGGAATGTGGCAGTCTGTTAATTCTGATCATAATGTCTAAACTTTCCAACGAAATACGGCTGAAGAGCGCATGAAAATCGACCAAAGAGGTATGGAAAATCGATGAGTTGTTGGACACAATCAAAGAAGTCGAAGCGTGTGAAGCCAGTGAGGCTGTCAATACACAGGAAGTCCCGTTACGAAAACCGCCAAACCAGGGTTCAAATTCCTCCCGATTGATTCCCACAGCGAATACACTATTTATGACGGAAGGCAAAGAATTTCAGTCTGGATGTGTTTACTGCAATGGAGAACAATACTCAGCCTCCTGTATGAAGGTTCAACGAATGAAAGAACGAAGAGACATTCTTCAAAGGAATAATCGATGTCTTATTTGCCTTAAAACTGGCCATGATGCGAACAATTGTTTCAAAACAAAGAGATGCCGACACTGTGATGGAAAGCATCACCAATCGATTTGCGCAGAATAGATAAGCCCTCAGAAGAACAAAGAAGGCCGAACAGAAACAAAATCCCGAGAGGAATGCCGAATGAGCACATAACTGTTACTACGACCACAATCGCGAAGTCTACTACCAAGGGAACTGTACTTCTAAAAACAGCAAGTTGCATGGCAGTCAACAGATCAAATTCAATTCCTGTACGTGTAATTTTCGACAATAGAAGTTGACAATCGTATGTCTCATCGAGTGTAACTTCACGCCTCAATTTACAGCCTGTCAATTCTGAAAATCTGCACATCAACAGCTTCGGGGACACAAGTTACCAGAAACAGAAATGCAATGTCGTAAAACTGTGTTTACAAACACGAAATCACGAGGAAGTAGAACTGTATGTGGTGAACTTCCCAGTAATCTGTTCGCCTTTGCCAAGTAGAGTTAAGAGGGCCTGGAATTGGTAGACGACTTCGACAACTTCAACAACACTGAATCAATTGATGTCCTGATTGGATCCGATTATTACTGGGACTTTGTGTCGGGAGATTCCATTAAAGACAACCAGGGTCTGACTGCAGTCTACAGCAAATTTGGATGGTTGTTGTCCAGACCAATACACAATCAATCATTCAACTTGATTATTTCCGGTGGATGCAATTCGATGTTTGAGGAGCAAGATGAAAAATTGGTGGAGAGCTTGAAGAAATTCTGGGAGTCGGAGAGTGTTGGAATAATTACTCAGGATCACTCACTACATGCAGATAAACAAAAGCCAGAAATTCACTTCAATGGTCACAACTACAAGATAGGATTACCATGGAAAGAGGATTTACAACCATCCATGAACAGTTACCAATTGAGTGAAACCCAACTGTGATCACTGCATTTCAGGTTGAAAAAGGATCCAGATTTACTGAGGGACTATGACAAAATTGTCGGAAACTCAATAATATCATAGGGCTTTTAATGTTTGTTTTGTCACGAACTGCCAATCTTTGAAGGCGTTTATTTTTATCTGAATGGCAAAGATCACGTTATTCCACGTGTTATTGTGAAATAGAGTACGTTTGTTATTTTTCTGTCAGCAATATCGTTTTAGCCAATCGGCTTATGTTTATTCAAGGTGTGCTATAGATCAGGGTTCGCTCGATTGATGCCAGTGAGAGGTGGATTATTTTTGTAGGAGAAAAGAAAAAACTGTGATTAAAAAACCTGAAAGTGAAGACTGAAGACGTTGTGGGCCTTCTTAACCTATTCCCCACAAAATTATCCAAGAACAAGAGCAGACCGGAATCGTTGAGAGAGTTCCCGAAGAAGAATCAAGCAGTAACATTGACAAGGAACAATTTGACTATTCGCCACACCATGCAATTATCAGGAAAGATCGTGAAACAACTAAAGTATGCATAGTGTACGATGGGTCAGCGAAGTCTTCTAAAGAAGAACTGTGACTAAACGATTATTTAGAGACTGGTGATAATTACATTCCGCACATATTTGACATGTTAGCAAGTTTTCGAAGCTACCCAGTTGGACTCACTGTGGAAATCGAAAAGGCTTTTCTGATGTTGAGCATAAAAGAAGACTGAAACACGTTTCGCTTCCTTTGGTTTGATAACCCAGATTGAGACAGACCTAAAATCGCGCAATTTCGATTCAACAGACTTTTGTTTGGATTGTGACCATTGCCTTTGGTACTTGGAGGAACAATAGCTCATCATTTGAGCTGGTACAAACAAAGTGAACCGGACATGGCAGTGCTTCTCGATAAAATCACTGAACGTTGATGATTTACTTTCTGGAGCAGGAGACGATGGGAAGGCCTTGGAAATTTATCACAAATCGAAGAGGATCATGAGGGATGGAGGATTCAATCTCAGAAAATGGAACTCTAAGTCTCCCAATGTGATGTCTGAGATTTCAAGGTCTGAAAGGCTGCAAGCATGACGAGCTTCTCTCAAGAAAAGAATTCGCAGCAGGCATCGTAAACTGATGCTGAGGGTTGGGGAAGAAGATGTTGGGTGGATGTCATCACATAAATTACACCGCAATGTAATTACATAGACTTGGCGCCCACGAATCCGCGAGAGATACGCGATTGCGTGCGAGTTAACGTGGGGTCATTTATTAACAATGAAAGTCATGAAATATTAGAAAATTTGCTATGCGTAATGCTCGTTAAAAAACTGCGTTCTTTCTGATCCCGCCTGTTTCCTTATTATTAAGACGTTTCTAATAACGTAGTCTTTTTAAGATCCTCCCTTTTCACAGAAGAGGCGATACCTGCCAGGCGCCGTATTTATAAAAGTCTCTGTTTCAGTTATCTAGTATGTAGTCTTTCGCTTGGTTTGCCATAAAACAGCAACAAAAGATATCGTTATTTTCACGTGCCGTTACGACCTGGGCAACAACCATATCAAATTTCCAGTATCACACCACTTAGTGCATCGATCAATGTTTACGCTTTCCGATCAAAGTTATTGTTTTCGTACAAGACCCATGACGATCTCAAGACATAGCCACCTATCCTGGTTAAATTCGTACTAATATTATAATATTAAACTTCGGCGGGATTTTCAAAATTGAAAAGCATCATGTTTTTTATTTCGAAACCATTCAAAGTTAAGTCATGGAGGCAGTCAGATTGTCGACATGCGCCTTGCTCCCGGTTGACTTTACCGCCCAGAGTCTTTGCAGGATTACAAGTGCCACACTTGACCCTTAGAGGTATGTGGTGTCCCTCCACGTAAATTTTTCATACGCGATGTATTTAAGATATTTCCCAATGAAATCCAAAGTGTGGCTGCGCGGGAACTTTACCGCCCAGAGTCTTTGCAGGATTACAAGTGCCACACTTGACCCTTCCAAGCACTGGTATCTACTTTTGAAAGAGGTATGTGGTGTCCCTCCACGTAAATTTTTCATACGCGATGTATTTAAGATATTTCCCAATGAAATCCAAAGTGTGGCTGCATGGGAACTTCAGCCCACCAAATTATCGTTTGGAGTTGTGGAGATGGACAGGATTCCCGACGTCGTCCACGTTGTGTCCACGTTCGGTCTGGTTGCTGGTCTTCTTCGCAATAAAAAAATTCCTGACGAACTTATTAATTCTGCGGGATTTATGGCAATCGTAAATCTGGTCAACTCCGCCACACTAGACTTTGAGTCCGAGGGCGCGAAAAATTTATCTTTTGGCGCCAAAACCAGTCAAGACTCCAAGGAGCTCGTTTCCTTGCTTACCGAAAGATCAGCCAGAATAAATTCCCTTGGAGTGGAATTGAAGTAACTCCAAGCACGGATTTCCCATCTTGAGTCGAGCACGGAGGCAAGTTTAGACAATTCTTCCCTCCCTAATTCCCCATGTTGCTCATGTACTCCGTTAAGTTTGTCTAGTTCCTCGTGTAGTTCAATCGATGACACAAAGAGCCGACCTGATTTAGGGACAATAAACAAGAAAAAGACAAGTTCTTAAAAGGTGCAGGAAGATAACAGCTTTCCTTGATGACGTTTCTGAGAGGTACAATGAGTCCATCGCTGCCGTCCTCGGAAACAGCTTCTTGTACGGAACGGATGGGGAAAGGGAAAAAGTACAAGGCATCATCTCAGAAGTCATTGATCTAATTGTTACAAAATCAAAGGGTTCGAGGAGTGGTCTGACCGAGCTTCTTTCGCCACAAACACTCACAAATGTTTTCCAAAGCATGCGTGTACCAGACTGGGTGTTGTTGTTTTTTAAGCTCCAAACAAGACTCCCAGATTCTGCATGTCAAACTCTGCTGAACTTGACTCGACTAGGAAAGAGTGGGGTGAGTTACTAACGGTAAAGGTTTTTGCACTCATTAAATTTAAGCATTTTGTTATTTATTTTAATTTCATTGCTTTGTTTCTACAGCAATGAGCTGTCAGTCATGTGATCCTTTTTCTTACCAGCAATGTAAACCCCATGTAAGGTTGTATTTGACAAAATTCATAAGAGTTTTATTTCATGAGGATGATTTTGTGTATCGTGGTGAGACATACAGCATATTGATTTTTTATGAGTAAAATTACATTTTACACCTCAGATAAGGTATCCAGTTTTCAAAGGATTCCTCCTGAGTGTTATAATATTGTAATTTTCACGCCTTGTGTTGAATTTCATTGGCACGTGCTGCTAGACTCATTACATATTCAGTTTCGTTTGTACCTTCGAGGCACTTGATAGAGATTAAATGTCTGTTCAGTATCCGCTTGAACGTGTGGATCGCTGTGTTATTACACTGAGAGAGGAATTACATATTTTCATTCAGTTTTATGGCTTGAAAATCAGAACACGATATATAAAGCAGTTATTGAGTCTTCTTTTAGTGGGTTATTTTTGAAAGTATTTTTGAACATAACTGATGTCAACCTTTTTTAACATTTATAAAGTGACAGTTGATCTAAACCTGCTTCTGGATAATTTTTTTCTACAGAGAGCTGGAGACACGCCTCTACTGCTCACAAAAAATGAGATAATGGCACTGAAGAAACTAGTCTTCTCTACAGTGCAGAAAACATTCAAAATTGCCAGGGTCAAGGATGCAGATTTTGATGCTTGGAATGTGCATCTAAACTCTGTTCTTGTCTGGGCAATTAGGGAGCAGCACCTCCAT